GACCGGTCCTCGGAACTCCCTACCCCTGACTGCCCCCCGCCACCCCGTCCAACTCCTCCTATCATTCCTGACTGCCCCACCCTGGGACCCCTGCCCCATTCAATCCCCCTGACCCAGGGTTTAAGAATCAGAAGTGCCTTCCAAAATCTGAAAGGGATGAGGTGTGAAGAATGCTTTCAGATGTCTTAAAAGAGCAACACTCCAATTCGGAAACTGCAGAACCCGAACCACCAAAAAAAGAAAATCAACCTTCTGCTGGTGGCATCTGACTCAGATGATGAGAATGAACATGCGTCAGTCCACTCTGCTTTGGATCGTTACTGAGCAGAATCCGTCATCATCATGGACGCATGTATTCTGGAATGGTGGTTGAAGGATGAAGGAACATAGGAATCTTTAGTGCATCTGGCATGTAAATATCTCCCGTAAATTGTAACCAAACTTGCTTATCTGAGTAATTGACTGAAGTAGGACTGAGTGGACTTGTAGTTTCTAAAATTTTACATTGTTTTATTTTTGAATGCAGTTATTTGTATACATAATTCTACATTTGTAAGTTCAACTTTCATATAAAGAGATTGCACTACAGTACTTGTAGTAGGTGAATTGAAATATACTATTTCTTTTGTTTTTTACAGTACAAACATTTGTAATAAAAATAAATATGAAGTGAGCACTGTACACTGTATTCTGTGTTGTAATTGAAATCAATATATTTGAAAATGTAGACAAACATCCAAAAATATTTAAATAAATGGTATTCTATTATTGTTTAACAGTGCAATTAATCATCATTATTTTTTAATTGCTTGACAGCCCTAGAAAATAGTGTATGACTATGAGTTAATATTAATAAATATTAGTTTGTATTTACAGCACCTCCAAAGAGCAAATTGACTCGTAGGCAATCTTGGGCCTGAACGTCTCAGAATAAAGTCAAAGGCAAAACTTTGAGGATTAGGATCAGCTTTCATAGCAGTGTGTCCTGACCTGTATTAGATTCAGTCTGTATCTCTCATAAACTTGCAGAAACTTTTGATTGCATTTTTTGTAGTTTCTTTTGTATGATATCCATTCATATGGTCTAATGAAAATGTGATTAATTAGAATCTTTGATATTACTACTATTAATCTAGCATTCCTGTACTACCTCAGATGGCCTTTATGTGCTATTTATATGGCGCTTATATCACGCCACTGTTAATAAATGCCGCTTATCTATATTAAGCATACAGGAATGATTAGCTGGAATTACAATAGGGTACAAAGCTTCCACATAAAAATCCACTAACAAAATATAAGTCTGTCTATAAAACTTGCAAGTGAAATGACCTCAGTGACTCCTACAATATATTAAAACCTGCCTGACAGTACTCAACAGTGAAAGGCAGGTGAAATCTTAAATCTTTCTGAATTAGGCCTACAAAGATTAGTCAACAGTGCAATCATGCATTTAGAAGTTAGGCATTTTTTTTTAAAGTCTTCTCTGTCTCCTGACATAATATGTAAATTGTGACAATTGTGCCTGGAATTTTAATGACTGAACTAATCCAGTATTTTTAGTCAGTTCATTAGATTTCTTTGACTTTGCCCTGGTTTTAATAATATTCAGTGAGTATTTATAAGATTGATTTATGCTGCTTTTAACTAAGTGAACATTTTCATATATATTCTCTTTTTTATCACTTTGCTTGCTTGTTTGCTTGTTTCATATTTCTAGGCAATAGAGCAAGATTTGCTTGCATATAAAGTGCTTTCCTTTTTAAGCAGGAGAAAGGGATGTCTGCTTAACAGACTTGAACTTTTTCTTATTGCACTTATTCAGTTTCCTCTCTCTCTCTCTCTGAACCTTCAGATAATTGATTCTTAGGCCACGCTGTTGCTCCTCCAGGGAAGTTGCCTCTATTGAAAAACATAACAAGAAATCAACATTGGTAATCAAATTAAATTATTTAGCAAACCTGATGATATTTGTTTCAGCTGGCAATTGCTCCTGAAAATGGACCCAATTCATTATACAGTGTGTGCACATGTAATTGAAGTCTCATACCTTTTCTGCATGAGAATGATCGCTAAATAATGTGTCCCGCTCTCCTTAATTATGGAAAAAAGCTTGACTCTCAACTCAGCTAATTACTGGAATTTCTATCAGACTGAAAATAGTCACATGAGAAGCAGATGTGGTCCAAGAGATGCACACTTGAAATAGGTGTATAAACTTTCACATTAGAATGATCGCTTCTATCTAGATGATATTTTTCATACTAATAGTAAACCAATCATAATTAAATAATAACTTTGATAGAATTGTTTAAATTAAATGGAGAACAAAGAAAGCGGATAAAAATCCAGCTATATTTCTGGTAACCCTGTACGTTACAAGATGCAGCATCTTGTTATCCCTTTTGACCTAAGAAGTTAACCTGCCAGACCCTGCACATTGGCTGTTTCCATTAGGAGGAGAGATGTTGCTGGAGGAGATGTTGATGGAGTCAGGCATTTCTTTGATACAATCCTGTTTATTTATACAGCATCTACCAAGTCCTGTTTCCCTGAGCACCTTAGGAATCAAACAGCAGGAGGCAGTTTCTTTGCTCATGGTTCCAAGCCTCTTTCCAGCCAGCACTCTACTCAAAAATCTCCCTCCCTTTGCTTTCTCTCAGGGCCACAGATCCAGTGCTTCTTTTGCTGTCTTCTTGCTAATTGTGTTCTCAGATTGGTATTCAGGATAATTTGTGGGTTTTTCGTGGCGATATGAAAGGCTAAGTCTGCTATGAATTGGTTAACCTATTGTACAAATATTTATGACTTTAATTAATAATGCCTCTGTAGTTATGGTTCTTAAGATAGGAGAGAGAAATCTGCATTAGGCTTCCTGCAAAAGGCCTACTTCTATTTGCATGGTAATGAAATAATACCAAATGTGTTAAAAGTGGGATGAATGGGCTAATGAGATTCTACGCAAACCATCTAAAGCAACACCCTGGTCTGACCCCTTAGATCAAAGGATGTGTTTAAAGTGAGGAAAGACTTATTTTTATTATTATTTAAGATGCACCCAGGTATCAATGTAAAATTAAAACATGAAAAGATATGAGGACTTTTAGCTTAAGCCAATACAAGGAAAGAAATTAATTTGTCCATATAGAGCAGTAAATAATAACCTCAGAAAACTGGTTGTAGCAAGATGATGAGAAATGTATTATTGTGATACTGGGTCTCTCATTTCTAATCTGTCTACCACTAGATAATCTTGATACTAATACACCTCTACCTCGATATAACGCTGTCCTTGGGAGCCAAAAATCTTACTGCATTATAGGTGAAAACGCGTTATATCAAACTTGCTTTGAACCACCGGAGTGCGCAACCCTGCCCCCCCGGAACACTGCTTTACTGCATTATATCTGAATTCGTGTTATATCGGGTCGCGTTATATCGGGGTAGAGGTGTATAGAGCCTCAAGAATGAAGTCATCCAGCAGTGGTTTACTGAACTGAATAAAACCCATCCTCTCCACACCTAAAGAGAAGACACTATCTCTATGGGTTCTCTAGTTGCACTTATATACCCTAGCTGGGGAAGAGATGTAATACAGAAAGAAGGCAACTTTGCCAGACTGAAGAGAATTGTAAAAGGTTCGGATTAAGGTAAACAATATGTTGTAATTATAGTGCCAGTCTAGAGTTGCTTTCTTCAGGTACATATAGGCAAGTTTGTCTTTATCAACAATACCTAATTTTATGTCTTTTAAAAAAATATTCCTCTAAAATTTTCATTTAATGAGGTTTCTTTGATTTGGAGCCTTTTTCCAGCTATTGCTTTACTGCTCATGTGGAAATAATTAAATTCTATGGCCTCTGATGGGAGATAGAAAAAGTAGTAGGCACCCACTACAGACAGAAAGAAGGTCGTGGTCTCCCTTCCTAAACAGTGTCTCAGAAGCATTAGGAAGGGCCATTGCAGACATAGGGAAGCCAAATGCCTGGTAAGGTTCTGTTTCAATGGAGTGTTCATCCAGCATCACTGGGCAAAAGTGATATAGTAACTTGGGTTTGGTATGGAGGAAAAGCATCTGTGGAGTTGGTGGTCAGGGGACACTATTATACCTTTCTCACTTGAGATGTTGCTTCTGTTAATGTGGACAAAGCTCAACTGTTGCAGGCTAATAACCATTTCAGGGATATGACTTCACTGAGGGAAAGAACAGAAAATTGATAGAAAGTGCCGCTGACTAAATTGTGCTCACAGCATTTGATGTCATGAGGATCATTCCACGTGCCTCAGCAATATACATAAAATAAATCATGCTGGAATAACAGACATATAAGTGTCCTGGACAGATCCATGAAGTCAAGATCTGGAGCCTGAGGAGAAAAGAAATGCACTGAAGTTACTGCTGAAAGTTATTTTTTTTCTTTCCCATTTTGTCAGACATCTTGAGCATAAAAGAGAAACATTTTTACCCAGAAACCTTCCCTCCCACAGAAAATCTTTCTTACTACACTTGGAAAATAAAATACTTATCTATTTTCTCTCCAGTGCTCAAGTCATTCTGAATAGTTTTTCTTCAGCCAGTACCCTGGGTGTAATGGCACCTGTCTTACACTCCGACAAACTCTCCTGGAATGTAACAATGAGATCACAGACCAGATAGTACTTGCTAGTGACGATGATGAAGCCTTTTTCTGAGGGGAACCTTCTTCCCTCACCTGCACATGTGGCTCCCACTTTTTTGGTTGTATGGGTTGGGAAAGTCTCACAGTTGACTTTGGGTCAACTGGAATCTATCTGCATGCTTTTCAAAGGGTGTATGCTTATGCATGTAGAAATAATAAAATGTAAATAAAAATAAATATTAATCTATCTACTCTCTATCTGCAGGAATGCTAACTAATATGTGATCACATAAGAGGAATAATAAAGTTTATAATTCTTACCTTATTTTATGTATGGAGAGTTAATGAAGGACAAAATAAAATTTAATCAGCATAAAAACAAGTTTGAACAATGTTGGGGGTAGAAAATACTCTTAGAACCTGCATAACTCCTTAAGTTGCTGGCCATGTACCAGTTGGCTGAATCTCCAATCAGTCAACAAAGCCAGGTACAAAAGGAGATATTTTACTTTGTTATGCTGATGAGATGTGCTGTTATAAAACTCTGAACAGGTATAGATCCTTCTGAACCCCAAAGTGCTCTTTATATTTATATGGACAGGTTCTCCCATGGAATTCAGATATTTGCAAAACACTGGATAGTTTTTATGAAGAAATCTCATGCTCTACTGATTGCACATAATTTATTGAAAGAGACAAGTGGTAATACTACTTGCAAAGATCTGCCCCCATAGAAAAGGACAGAGAGTTGAGGTGGAGGTGAGTTACACTTAAGTTCTAATTCATGCTCTGCCACTGACTTGGTACATGGTGTTAGGAAAATCGATCTAACTCTGTGCCTAAGTTTTCCATCAATATGTAGGGATAATACTCACTTACCTCACCCAGGAATTGTGAGCTGCCTTATGTTAAAGTCTGAAAGCACCGAGACTCTCATATGGAAATGTCATAGAAGGAAGGAACAATGAGGAATAATTATTTAATGCATAACACTTTGATTATCTAAAACACTGCATAAGTGGTATTAACTGTCAGAGTAACTAATGGTGTGTGGTTCAAGAAGCATTTGTATAGATTTAACCCAGTGGGCTAGTAATTGAGGATAAATATGTATAACATCACATCATTGCAAATTCAACACCCCCAGAAAAAAGAAATTTTGATTCCTTAATTCTCTTTTGATTCTTATATTTTACCAATCCTGGTGGTATCAGACCTCCTTCCAGAGCTTAAAACCAGACTTAGATTATCAAAGTTAACGATGGGAGTAAGTTACATCATTGGTTGTTTAGTTTTTGTATTGTACCTGTAAATATATACGTTGTTTTATGGAAAGCACAACTAAAGCAGTGTTTTGCATTTGGATCTGAAAGTGTGGTAAGATTTGTGAGCTTTCTTCATTCTGCCAGGAATGAATTCCATGCTGAGGGCCAGCTGTGATGAACAGCATAGCGGGCTGAACAAGATGACCTCTTGATGTCCCTTCCAGCCCTACATTTCCATGAGTCTATGAAAATAACACTTTGCTGCATGGGTTTGAGCTCTCTGTAACACTCCCACAGCGAGCTGTTTCCTCTTTGAATTTGCTGATGATACTTAGAGTGTATTTGATTAGATGATATCCTGTTCTGTAAGTGAAACAATAGCTCTTTGCACTGAGTGGTGCTGTATTATTTTACAGACTGCAGGCTGGATTGAAGAGGTGGTTAAGCAACTATAATAGCTCTTTGCAAAGAATTTTTGCTACGGAGGAGAAGAAAAATGTTCTCTTAGCCTGAAACATAGCCTCAGCATAGACTTGTCATAATTCTTGGCATTTAAATCTGTCTCAGCCCAAGGTTTCTGTCATTGACTCTACATTTACCACCCTCTTCTCTTCATCTGCCTCAAGTCATCCAAGAGCCGTCCAGATGTGTGTGTGATATGTAGAGAAAAGGGCCATTCCATAACCATTGTGTTGAGGTGATGGCAAGTGTGTGGTCACAGTGACTCACTGGCTCTGCAGCATCTTGTTTTGTTGGTAATCTGTCATCATTATGGAGTACACTTTGGAATTTGGTGGGATCCATGAGCTTTCAGGACCTGACATGATAGAATGACTTTGCTGTTGCCTAGAGACATAGAAAGAATTCTGGCCGCTGCTTTTCTCAGGTGGTGTTCTGCACAAGTTAGGGGCAGGCTAGTGTTGTTCACTACATCCATATGTAATCCAAAGATCCACTCCAAAGTGGATACATGTGGATCTTAGTGTGGACCAAATTCTGTTGGTGAAAGAGACAAGCTTTTGAGCTTACACAGACCTCGTCTTCCGGTCTGGGAAAGGTAGTAACTTTGGTCAAATGAAAGATATTACCTCACCTACCTTGTCTCATTAGTTAGATAAGGCTTTCTTCTTATTTTCAACAGCTCTACCCAAGAGTTTACAGTGTGTTCTACCACCATTTATGAGTCAATTTGTCTCTTTGATATACATCTTTTTTTAATCCTCTCACAAGGTCCTTTTGTTTCTTCTTTCCCAAGGGAACTATAATATTAAAAACGTGAAACTGCGATCAGAATGAATTAAAGTTTTACTGTTTCCCATATGAAGAATTAATTTCTTACATTTCTTGTTCTTGTTACAACCTTTGTCATGAGCATGAATTAACACAAAGTTTCATTGCTTAATAGTATATCCAAATTATGGCAGAAGAATGAAAGTTTGACCTTTGTGGTATGTTGTCTTCTGATTGGATTGCCCCCACTCTTATTTTCATAAAATTATAGCCAAAAAGAAAACTGTAAGAAGGTGGTTTAACAGAAGAGCTGTGTAAATGTCAGGGGCTTGTGTTCTCAAGGTTTTATGAGGCCCACATTTTGAGGGAGGGAGATTTGGTTCACATTGGATTTTCACCTCCAGTGTCTTAATTGATATTCTGTTTTGGGTTATGTGGGTGGGTTTTTTTGCTTTCCTCTGAAGCATCAAAGATTGACCACAGCTGGAGATGGGACACTGGACCAGTGCTGTGAGGTGGTACACAGAATATCTTGCTTAGATACCTGGTTGTCCCAGGTCAGATTGGCAGGAACCTTGGAGGGGTTTCACCTTGTTTCGCAGCATGGGGTGTGGATTGCCTTCTGGGATCATTTGGACATATCTCACCTAATCCATTCCCTACCATTGCAGGAACATTGGAACTGGTGGCACCTTGGTCTCTCCTGTTCTCTGCCTGTGGCACACAGCAGTTTAGTTAGACCAAAACATTTCAGTCCTCAGAATAGTAAAGTCATTGGGCTCAATATAAGGGTATCTGAGTGAAATTTATTGGCCCATGATATATAGGAGGTCTGACTAATGATCTAATGGTCCTTTCTGGGCTTAAACTCTATGAAATCTATGAAATTATTGGCATCTGAGCTTGACAAATCAAATTGGAACTGAACTGAAATCATTGTGTTCATCATGGATTTAGGTAAAGATTGTAAATCACTTCTTGGCATCCTCAAGCAGAAGGCTAACACAAAGCTCAGTCCAGCTTTACCCAAATGAATTATCATTTGCAAATCTGAGATGAGTTTGGGGTTGAAAATTAAATCCAAACTATGAAAATCCAGAAAAACACCTGATTTCTAATTCCAACGTTTCATACATTTTTCACATCAGATAGTTTTTTCAGTGAGGAACATTTGAGACTGATTCACTCTGGACATAATTCACTTCACAGCAGAGCGCTTATACAATGGCATCCATTCTACTTGGACTCCCATGTGGAGGATTTATGCCCCAATCTTGCGAACACTTATGCACATGAGTAGTGCCATTGACGTCAATAGAACTACTCACCTGAGTACAGTTAAGCATGTGCCTAAGTGTCTGCAGGATTGGAGCTCAAATCAGTCGAGTTATACCAACATAATTCTGGAGAAATGCAATGCAGAATCACTCCATTAATATTAACAGCAGCAAAAATGAATCCAAAGAGATGGAAATCAACCCTGGTGTGGAAGACTTGCTACCCAGGGTTTTCAGAACCCAAAGCAGTGGCAACTTAACTGTTTCTCTCCAGGCAGTGTCAGGAATAAATCAATGGGGACACAGCTCAATCTGTCTGATACAAACCAGGAATGCTTTCATCTAAAGCTACTTTTTTATTAGATCTCAAGTGAGCAAGTGTGCTCGCATGCACACACACACACACACATACACAGTCATGTTGCTGCAGTAGGGTTTAGAGCATTTCAAAACAAGTATATTTACCCAGAGTTAAGAAATGGTTCCGAGGGATCAGTGGTCAGCCTTCCATGGGACCCTGCATTCTGGCTAGCTGCTGGGGAATTTAGCTGTCAGATCCTTGCCCACAGAAAGCTTCCTTGGACTGCTCCAGAGCATATTCCTTCACCTAATCTTTTATAGCTAACTTCAAACAAAGCACTTAACCTATAGTGACTTCTAGTGGATCACCAGTTCTCCTAATTTCAGCAAAACTACTCATCTCTTATCATCAAAACATTTCTAGTCATAACAAGAATGTGTCAGGGCACTTAAAACCCAGGTTGCTTTACTCTCTTCCATACTTGTTAACTTTCTATCTCATCCTCCCATTCTGATTAACAAACTGCAAGCATGCAGCTGTCTGACCTTGCCTCACAAAGGCCTAAGATTTTCCTAGCTATGTGATGTTTGGTTTTCTGCCAGCAGTGGCTGAACATACAAAATAGCTTACTGCTGTATTGTCAAGTTCTGGGGTATATGCAGGAATGTCAAATTCTGGGGTAACAGACTTGCCATTACATGACCCTCCACGCTAGTTAAGTTCTTAATGTGTGTGTGTGTGTGTGTGTGTGTGTTTTAAATACACAACATATGTACTTTTATAAGCCTTCTCCCTGGAACTGATTTCAATGGTGTTACACAGGAGTAAACCTGGAGTAATGGCATTGTGAATCAGGCCCATGTATTCTATTTACCATGTGCCAATATCGCTCAACTGGCCACAGTTCCTTATTGTTCCTTAAGTAAATACAATATATCCTACCTTTAAAAAAAAATTAAGATTTAATTATAGAATTTCTTTTTTGACCCCCCTCTACAGCATTGTTTGGTATTAACTTTCCAAATGTTAACAAACTTCAGTCAGTTTCTTACTTTTCTAACTAATACTGGAATTTTTCCACTTTCTTAATTCGCTTTTACCTGTACTCCAATTATTTCAACTGTGTATGCCAAACTGTATGCCTTCCAAAAAGCATAGCCAATGTTATGGCTCCAGTCAAGCAACATCATAATTTTGATTAATTACATTTAAGTAGGGAGATATTAATGAATAATAAACTTTCACATGTTCCTTCCTTCAACTTGTGATGCAGAAAAACAGGCAGTTTCTGGGCATTAGTCACAAAGAATGAAACAGTTAAAACTACATGTACAGGGCGCTTCTCTATCCATTTCTAGAGAGCCATGCAACTATCACCTTTCTATGCCTTTATAGGAATTGGACTGGATTTTGGTCCAGGCTCCAGTCCTCATATGATGCTCTCGTGGTATAAAGGGGCCTCAAAGGGCCAGGGAAGAATTCCCCTTGTGTAGGGCTGACACAAGTGTCCCTAAGCTATCCTTAGGCGGTCTCCTATGTAAATGGAACCCTGAAGGTTGGGTAAGAAGAAGCATGCTTATTTCACTCAGCACTTTGGGAATTCAAGGTTGTAAATCAGTTTGCAAAAGGAAGTTGTAAAATAGAGCAGAAATAGAGCAACAGCATGGGCTGCTCTATTTTATGCCAGGTGCTGTTTCAGCCCCTGCAGGAGCCCAGAATCTGGTTCGCATAAAGACATCTTTACCTCCCCTACCCATGGGCTGAACCTCCTATGCTGTGCCTCTCAGGAGGCCAGGACAGATTCCAGCCCCTCTTCTTCAGGGAAGGTAAGAGTGTTTAATGGGCACTAGAAAATAATAATGGGAAGCTATTGAATTTTTAATCACCATTGGGGACAAGTAAATAATACTCCCACTAGATGTAGCACTACCGTCTTATTAAAAAAATGGCATGTCATTTATTATGGAAATTGAAATGCTCAATAGTGTACTACTCTGAGTTGAAAATCAATTCCACCACTTAGGAAGGATGTGATTTTTAGTAGAAACTTACATTACTTCTTGTTTTGTCTCTTCCATTAAGGTGTTTATGTTAGCAAAGAATGCTGTCAATAAAATATTCCCAAATATTGGTACAGTGACTCTAGTAGGGCAGGTCCTTTATGTGAGAAGCTATTTTGGAAGGTATAGTGTGCTATTTCCTAAGTCCTTCCTATACTGTATAAATAGTGTGTTTTTTCACAGTGCTTTTGTTGGTCAGAACAACAGGGATTGATGGTAAATGAAGAACACTTACAAAATAAGGAAACTAGATGGTAATGGGAACATAAATCCTTTCATTTCTAAAAAAAGAACAGGAGTACTTGTGACACCTTAGAGCATAAGCTTTATTAGAGCATAAGCTTTCGTGGGCTACAGCCCACTTCTTCGGAAACATAGAATGAACAAGGGTAGTTCAAAGTCTGATGCTACAGGTATGATCTGCAGCCAGTTCTAGTGTATTCTCAGCAATTCATGAAATGCTATTATTAGCAGTGGAGTGTAGAGCAAACCAATATTATTAGAATGTATCTCTGAGACTGGTTAGTACCACTGAGCATTATAAAAGCTGATCTCATTGATAAGGCTGACGTCTTTGGAAAAAATTATAACTTTTCCTTAACTTTGTAGGAATACAGGACAATAATTATACTGACAGGTTTCAGAGTAGCAGCCGTGTTAGTCTGTATCTGCAAAAAGAACAGGAGTACTTGTGGCACCTTAGAGACTAACAGATTTATTAGAGCATAAGCTTTCGTGGACTACAGCCCACTTCTATACTGCTGATTAAGCTAAAAGCGGGAAAAGGCTAGAATAAGTCTATGGAAAGAAGATAGGAGTCTGGGCCCCTGATCAGCAAGCATTTAAGCATGTGCTTAATTTTAAACATATCTATTTAAGTCAATGAGACTTAAACATGTGCAGATGTGTAGGTACCAGAAATGATCAACAACAGAGTAAAATAAAGAAATAGTGGCTTCAATTCAGGAATGTAATTAGCACATTCCTAAATTCATCCATCTTTATGAATGCACTTAAGCATGTGCTTAAAGTGAAGCAGAAGTTGAGGTACTATTGATTTAAAGTTAAGCAGGTACTCAAGTGGTTGTCTGAATTTGGGCCATAAAAGATGCTGGTGGTGCTGTGATGAAAGATAGCAGTGTTCCAGAATAGAATTAGAAAATCGAAAGAGAACAGACAGACAGGATGGTAGAAGCAGCACACGTGGAAAGAAACAATAGAGTAGACTGGGCTTAAAAACAAAACTCTGTTACTTTATTTTTCAAATACAGTGAGAGTTAGTGCCTGTGGATTGACAATATTTGAGAACTAAAAAGTGGATTGTAAGATTTTTGGGACAACATTTGGGATGTTTTGAGGTCTTTTGTTTAACAAAACCAGTGTTCAGCTGCAACATTGTGTGAAACTCCTCCAAAACTAATGGAATCCTGCAAAAAATGTCAAATTCCCCTAAAATGTTCTTAGTTTTCTCTTTAAAAAACTGATAATTGTCTTTCTATTTTAATTATGGGAGTAAAGGTAGGAGAATGGGGGAGCCCAGGGGAGATGCTTTTTTTTTTTGCAATATATCAGAACATGAAGAGCAAATAAAATTCTAAAGCAGAGAGGAGGTCAGGCTCAGCTGTCATTTCCTCAGGAATGTATGAAAGAAACACCCACAGAGATCCATCAAGCCTGGAAGGGTGCCTGGAATCCTGGTGTTGGTGCTCTTATTATTATCTTGTAACATGACAAAAAAAGGTGACATGAAGGAGAATGCATCCAACAAGTACAAAGCAGACACAGACCACTGAAGGACACCAAGTGTTGTAGTTTCACTAATCATGGTATAGCATATTAAGGAACAAGAAAAGTCTCTTAGGGAAAGGACAGCAGAAAAACAGCAGCTACTCTCTGAAGTATTACTCTTATGGAAGCATTGGTTCTTTCTTTCTTTCTTTCTTTCTTTCTTTCTTTCTTTCTTTCTTTCTTTCTTTCTTTCTTTCTTTCTTTCTTCTACATCTTGATGCTCAGTTTTAATTTATTCCTCTCTCATTTTCTACAAACTGGATGTTGAGGAGTAGAATCGGAAAAACTCATTATGACTAATTATGATCCACATGAAAATCATGCTTTCAAAAGTTTGACATAACTTGAACATTACTAGATGAGAGTTCTGTTTAGTATGGACTCTGAAACAGGAGCACAGACCAAGGGAGAGAGGGAAAGGAAAAATAAGTTTTATATCTTTGTAGGGCACCCACGTGAGCCAAGCTAGATTTTAAGGGGTTCTTCTATCCTTACTGCAAAATGCAGGTGTCTCTTTATCTTGAAAATCATAGTTTGTTTTGTTTTTCAAATTTAATCATCTTCAATTCATCATGGCTTTAAATGAGAGGAAATAAAGGATTTGCAAGATCAGGCTAAGGTCCTGATCCTGAAATAAGCCCCACACAAGTGGATCCTCACTGATTTGAACTCAATAGGGCTCCGCATTGAACTCAGGGGGATCTGGGACACTCACATGAAGGTCATTGAAAACCCAAAAGTTAGTCAGAGGTTTGCAAGGGCTTGAGCTCCTCAAGGGAGGAGAACCATCTCTTCTGAAAGCAAATTTAGCAGCTACCTACCAACATTCTCTCCCCAAAACTACAGAGCAAGTGAGAGAGAGAAAAGGAATTACAGCTGCTCTTGTTTTTATTTTTCAGTGGATGATGTACTGCAGAAGCATAAACTTGAAATAGTGAACTAGCAAACAACAAGGCCAGCATAATTTTCTCCGTCAGTACTACTATAAGGCATATTTATTGCTAGTATTTTCCTTTGATTTCCTTTTGGAGGCATACCTGAATTCCTTCAAGTACAAGGTCTTCTCTTTGGGACACAATAAGTGCACGGTAGTAAGATATTCCTTGGACAGTGGCATAGTTAACTATGAACTCTGACCTATTGTGCCTCCTCCTTAATTTTGCAGTGCATTAAAATAAACCTTAGATTTGGACATGCCTGGAGTTTGAGAAGTTCAGAAATGGCTCCAAACCTGGATCTGTCACAAGAATAAAGCTGTTGGACTTCAGCTATTCTTATTTAAACAGAAAAGTGCTTACTCTTTAATGCAGGCACAGAACCAACACTTACTTGCTAGCTCAATATCTTAACTTTTCCTACTTCCTCCTAGCCCCCTGCCTTACGTCTTCTTCTGATACATTGTAGCAGAGTTTCCTGAAGTGTTTTGTCTTTCTACCCTGTGCTAATGATATATCTGTACACATATTCCTGCATATTAGCCCTCTGGCAATATTAAGGTTAGCTCATTTATCCTACCAGGCATGGTTATTATAAAGCTACAGTTTTTTTAATGATAAAACCATGCATACATTATGGTTAGTATGCTAAAATTATAACTCCTATTCAGCTGTGAAGATAAAACTGCA